ATTTGGCACATCAGTGTCACAGTGTTTGTTTAGCATCACAGCTACCACAAGTTACGTCTGTACAGCAGATGGACAGAACAGTGCTGTATCACTTAGAGGAATGTTTGACCAAAAACAATTAGAACCAGGCCTGAGGGCCGCAAATTAAAATCACCCACCTTTGGCTTGGTAACATAATTACTATTCACTAGGCCCACAGAACTCTCTCGTCGTCGTCATTGTTGTTAGTGCCGCTGAGTCGTAGAAGACTCATAGCAGACCCTATGAATAAAAGACTTGGAACACTTGTATTTGGTACCAGAATATTTTTGTGTATGTATTTCTTATGATACCTATTCTCAATCTTTGCTATCCTTTTATTTAACTTGTGTTCTTTAACTAGTTTAAAAACAACAACTTATAAGTTACTGTTTTAATATTCTACTTTCTTTCATCACAGAAGCAATCATTCGTTGGCTTGTTCTCATTTTGTTCTTGTGTGACAAGTCATAATTTTTCAACAATTTTTTAATTCTCCTAAAATCCTCCAGCTGTCTCTCCATACTTAGTGCCAGCGTAAAACCAAACCAGTCCTTTGTTAACATTGGAAGTCGAAATAATGAAGACTCCTTGGACCTTTAATATGAAAATTTCAGGTGACCAGTGGAATTACAAAGAGTCAGGGAATAGTTGAATGGTCAACATCTCAATTAAGACTTACTCATTGTTTCACACTCTAACTACACTAGTAGAAGCTACTTGTGGTGTAACTCCTTATGTATATATTTATCTGACTCTTGGTTGGTTTTTCAAATGCGTGAAGAATCTAGTAATGAATTCTTTGCTCTTTGTGGAATGTATATCTTGATTTTGAGTCCATCTGTCCCATCCTTAATTTTCTCTTGTTTTGCATTATGTTTCTAAAATAATGGCTGGCTTGGTTTTTCCTGAATGTTTCTGCAGTTTGGTTTGAGTATCTGGTTTGGGGCACCCCTCTTGAACTTGGACTTCGTCTGTACTTGTGAATTTTGAAAGGCAGAACTCAATGTTTTCTATAGAAGATGACTTCTTTTTTTTTTTTCTAATCGCTGTCTGTGTCTTCTCCCACACCCCCACCCTTTTTTTATTTCTCTTGAAAGACTGGCAAGAAGGCGGTTAAAGCAGTCCTATGGGTATCAGCAGATGGACTTAGAGTTGTGGATGAAAAAACTAAGGTAAGATTTTTTACAACCATGATAGCATTTTTTTTATCTCACCATAAATATAATAGCATTAAGCTATTGTAGTCTTATAACTACATCCTTCCAGTTTGTCCAAAGTACAGTCCTTTGAGAGATTTAGTTACTCATTTACCGTATGAAAAATAGATTATTTCCTTAGAAGTTTGTTCTAAGTGATACAGTGTGTTTGATATAGTAAACATTTTCAATTAATGTTAAGATCTAAGTTCTGTTTTTGTTTTTACATATTAAAAATTTTCACTGGCACAAATTTGATGTAATAGATGATGGCACACCTCAAAAATTTCTTCTCGCTTCTTAATAAAGTGTACATTTTAAAAGGTTATAGTTGAACTGATTAGCCTACTTATTAATTGAAAACCTTATTTAAGTCTAAATTTAAGGCCTAGAAAATGGCTCATTTGAATTTGTAAAGAGTCCACATAACATTTCTCAAATCGTAAATACCATTTTTCCTTCAAAAGAATATGATCCTAGGTGCTTAAATAAGGATTGAGATGATGAAAAGTGGTGCTGGTATTAGGAGCTATGGAGTCAATTTCTACACATAATGACCCCATGTAAATAAATGCTTTTAATCACAAATTTAAATTCAAGATAATGCCTAAAGTCAGCAACAATCTTAACAAAAAGTGATAACCCCCTCCCTTATCCCCAAAAAGACTGTAAGAGGGAAACTGTCTAATACAAAAAGAGCATTTTTGATGGATAATTTACCTGATAACTTTCATGTGATTTAATAAGCAATGCATTTTAGTCCTTTAGACCATCCATATAAAGCTTCCCTTTTTTTTAAAACTATGTTAAAGTCTATGTTACTTATCTATAGTTAGTTTAATGAGCTACCTTTAGAACATTTCTTTTTAGTAGTGAAATTTTTGTCCTTAGAAACTTTGTTTTAAACAGTAAATAGTTGGAAAGTGATGTTGCCCCCTGGTGGCTATGTACAGCATTGGTCTTCATTAGTTTTGCCCTTTTTGAGTAACAAGAGGGAATATTAATAATTGGTGGTTTGTCATGCTTAGATCTGTTGTCTCAGCTTTATTTATATTTCATTCACAGCAGGAATTAACAGAATAATTTAGAATCATTGTCCATCATGAGACCATGTCATAATCTTCTGCACAAATATATGATGGAACAGAAGCCAAAATTTGAGTACCTTGCTCCTTGAATACCTGCACTGGTGTGTCACATGCCAGAAGGGTCACCCATGATGGACAGGTTTTAGTAGACTTCCCAGATTTAGGCAGACTAGAAAGTAGGTTTGTCCATCCACTTCTTCAGTGCGGGCTTCTGAAAATCTTATGGACAATAGAGGAACATGGTTAGTTAAAGTTTTAGAAGTAGAGCCTAGATTGGAAGTCAGTCAACCAAGTGGATTTGACACAGTGACTGCAGCATTGGGCTTGAGTGTGTCAGAGATTGTGATGATGACACAGGATAGGACAAGGTTCAGATCTCATGTTCATAGAGTAGATACTAGTTATACTCAGCTCAGTGGTGTGTGACAATAACACCACATCTTGAACAAAAAACTGTGTCAAATTGTTTTGCTTTTCCACTCCTTACCTGTTAGAAATTGAATCATGTGCCCCTGAAATACACATTGGAATTGCAGTTTCCCTGTGTTTGTGGATGTACTCTCATTTGGAAAAATTATTTTATTATATCAGTGAAGAAATATTGGTGGTAAAATGTCTTAAAACTAATCACTTTTGAAATATAAACAGAACAGATTGGGCATTTAGGCATAGAGAAGAGTCTAGCACAAATGGAGGTTAAACGCCACATGGAGATCAACAAGGAACCAAAGAATACTGGAGTTAAGATGAGAAAGGAATCTTCCCCCAGAGCCAACAGAACCTTCCCCTAGAAATGGTGCCTTGAATTTGGACATCTAGCCTCCTGAGAGTTCCAATAGCATAGTCCTTAGGGACTTGAGCTGCTAACCCAAACTTCTGTAGTTTGAGCCTGCCACCGACTCCAGGGAGAAAGATTATCATTCTCCTTCCCATGTGACTTACAAGCTTCAGAAACCCAGTGGAGGGCCAGCTATGAGTTAGGTCCAGCTTAGCTTTGATGAGTAAGTGAGGGAGCCTCATGAACTGTAAGAAAATAAATGTCTGTCTTTCAAAAACACACGTTTGTGATATTTCTGATGTAGTAACACTAAGAAACTAAGACAGTGTTTGCGATAGTGTTCCTACTTAACATTATAGCAGTACTTGGTTTCTCAGAAAAAATAAATTATGAGTATAAAATGTGACTGAAGTAATCATAAAAAGAATTTATATTACTGATTTTTAAGAGGATTGTGAAGAAAAATTCACTTCCCAGTTATCGTTGAGTAAGCTCATATTGAACAGAATCTGCTACGAACAACAGTCAATGTTGTGTAAAAGAGAACAGTTACTCGATGACACTAGGAAATCACCCAAAACAGACAGATTCTGGTGGGAAGTCAATTTTGGATAGAATGAAATAACACTGCACAGTTTTCCCATTTCACAACTTTTGACTTTTCAGAAGCAAATTCCCTGGGTATCCAATTAAGTGTTCAGCTGCCAGCTGTAGCCTGAGTACAGAGTCTGCTCGATAGAAACCAGGCAGTTGCTGTTGCGACTCACGGGAACGAGTGTGTTACAGTGGAAGATCAAGCAGCTTGCCAGGCCTTTCTTCTACATTGTCACTGAATTGAGTCCACCTGTCAGCTTTTAGGTTAGGAGTTGGTCACCAAACACTTGTACCACCATATAAGCCAAAACTAAACTTCATTCCTACTCCTCGTAACTGTGTGAGATAAGCTAGAACTGCCCTCTGAGTTCCAAGGCTGCAGTCTTCACAGAAGAAGCTAGCCACATCCTACTCCAAGGGAGTGGTAATTGCTGAATTTGAATCACCAGCCTTTCTGTTACCATATTGTTGTTGTTGTTATGTGCCGTCGAGTCGCTTGCAACTCATAACAACCCTATGTACAACAGCCCTAAACTCTGCTCTGTCCTGTGCCAATCGCACTGTCTCCGATACACCCATCCCGATTATCCCAGTCACTGAATCAATCCACCTCATAGAAGACCTTCCCCTCCTGCGCTGTCTGTCCACCCTACCAAGCATGATGTCCCTCTCCAAAGACCTGTCCCTCCTTACAACATGTCCAAAGTATGTTAGAGTCTCAGAATCCTTGCCTCCAAGGAGCTGCCTGGTTTGAACCTTTCCAGGATGAATCTGTTTCTTTTTCTAGCAGTTCATGGTACCCTCAATACTCTTCTCCAACAGCACAGCTCAAAGGCATCAATTCTCCTTTTATCCTCCTTAGTCATTGTCCAACTCTTTGATGCATAACAAGTGATTGCAAAGACCATGGCCTGTATCAGATGACCTTAGTCTCCAGAAAGACACCATTGCTCTCCAGTACTTTGAAGAGTCCCTAACAGCAGACTTTCCCATGGCTGTATGTCTTTTAATTTCCTGGCTACTGTTGCCAAGAGGGTTGACTGTGGAGCCAAGCAAACTAAAGCTGTGAACAATATCAATCTCTTTTCACCATCCATCCTGATGCTGCCAGTTGGTCCAGTGGTGAGAATCTTTGTCTTCTTGACATTGAACCTCAATCCATATTGGAGGCTGCAGTCCTTGACCCTCTGCAGCAAGCGCTTCAGGCCCTCCTCAGTTTCAGCAAGCAAGTTTCTGTTACCATATAGTATACATTAATTTTACAGACTCCCAGAATACCATTAACACATTGCTGCACACTTTTAAATTGATGACCGTGCTTAGAAACACATTTTTCCCCCCGATGTGTTACCATCATTTGCGGCAACATGTTAAGTATTCAGAAAATGCCTTTAAGTAATTCTTTATAAAACTCATTTGGTTTAATTGTTTGATTACACGTTTCAACCCACCTCAGCATAGAGCTGGCACAGGATCAGGTAAGGTTTCTCTGTTGTACACAGGGTTGCTATGAGTAAGAGCCAGCTCAGTCTCACCTTATTATGGGAATAGTACACGATGAGATTTGGAGCCTCGTTTTAAAGACTTCGTATATACTATACCGTTCTCTGGTGACCTCCTCTGTAGGGAGTTATACTGCTAACCCAAAGGCAGCATCTCTGGTGAGTCAAATCCACCAGCCCCCTGAGGGAGAAAGATGGGAAGTCTCCTCCCATACAATATACAGCTTCCAGAAAACCTACTGAGGGTCAGCTATGAGTTGCGTCCTGCAGTGAAGTTTTGGGGTAGTGGGGTTTTTTTGGTGGTTGGTGGTGGTTTGTTTTCTTGGGGTTTTTTAGTACACCATTCAGTAAGTGTATAAAAAGACAGACTTAAAATAAGTTGATAGATATCCAGAATTGCCATGAAAAATGTTATTAATTATGAGTTATATGGCAGTGGGAGTAAATACATTGTTATTTACATGTGTTTAATGTACATGGAATCTAGCATTAAAGAGATATTGTCTAAAATTAGACTGGGCAAACGTATGAAGCACCTGAGTAGACTTGTAAACCTGTGTGGGGATCCTCCTAGGTCAGGTTCTTGGTATTCTGACTGTTGGCCTCAAACTGAGCCCAATTCCATAGCCTCACTGCATTAGGTGATGGATACAGGGCTTTAGGATTGTGGAGTGAGCATCTTCTCTTTTTCCATTATAACCTTGGCTAACCCACCAAGTTTTATCCCTTTTTGTGCTTTCTTTTTCTAGGACCTCATAGTAGACCAGACAATAGAAAAAGTTTCTTTCTGTGCCCCAGACAGAAACTTTGATAGAGCCTTCTCTTATATATGCCGTGATGGCACCACTCGACGCTGGATCTGTCATTGCTTCATGGCTGTGAAGGACACGGTGAGTCCAGCAGTGTCATCTGACTGTGATGGAGCGCACAAACCCTGCAGGGTCTGGAGCATGCTGCAGCCTCAGCAGGGTTTCGTCCTCTTGTGCACAGGGTTGTTCTGAGTTGGCACTGACTCAAGGGCATCTGAAAAACCAGCAGCACTTTGGCTTAGTCATGCAATTGCCCCACTACATTTTAACAAGTAGATATGCCTCTAACAGCAGCTCGCAGAAATGGTTAAGCTTGCTCACTCCTTTTATTCAAATAAGTCACACTTTCCTTATGAGGCCCTGCATGTCACAGAACAAGACAATTGGTTCAGATTCAAAATCGTACAGAAAAGTTTAACTGTCCTGATTACCACTGATGTTGAACTTTATTTGGAAGCTTTCAGTTTTGAAACTTTGTTCAAGATTCTTAAATGTTTTTGTCTGCTGCTCTATGTGGGTAGAAGGGATCGATATTTGATACAAATTTTTTGCCATGAGATCCTATTGCAAAGTGGAAGCACTGAGTTGGAAGAATTTTTAATTAACTTAAGAATAGAATTTTAAAGACTGTTAAATTGTTTTCGAAATTATCCATGAAATTGTTGCATGGCATGATTTTTTTAAATTAAAAATTTTATTTTTCATATAGATTGCCAAAATTCTAACATGGAAGACAAGTGTCCCTTAGCTGATGATCCTGCTACAATTGTAGCACTGGTTATGCCAAAGTATGGATAGAACAAGACATTTATAAAAAGAGAACTTAAGAAAGGCATTGCAAAGGCTTAACTTGGAAGGGAAGTGGTAGTGGTCTAAAACTGGCCAAAAGTCTTTCTTAAGAGTTGCTCTGGTTCCAGTTCTGATTGTAGCTCTTACTAGCAGTGTGATTTGGAGCACCATTTTCTAAGTCTTCTTATTCACTGTTTAAAAAAATGTAGCTAAATTGTGAAAACTAAATTACCTACCATAGGGCCTGATCCATGATAGGGCCACTTCAAACTACTCCAGAATAGTAGCTAATACTGTTAAAAGTTGTCCCCATTTGGTTTGACACAGATACTTAGAAACGTAATGCTTCTTTTTTTTCTCAGACCATAAGAAAGCCTCAAAGAAGTTGATCTGTTTTGGTATCACTACATTCAAAATGCAGGAATTCAAGAGTACGTCTGAGATGATTTTAAAACGGTTTCTTGTGCCTTCATGGCTCCTCAGGTCCTGAATATCAGAATCACCTGGAGGGCTTTTAAAAGCATTGGTTGCTGAGTCTCAGCCCCATAGTTTTTTATTCAGTGGGTCTGAGGTGGGACTTTAGAATTTACATTTATAATAAATTCCCAGGTGATGAGTTAGTTGTCGTTGGGAGATCACTATTTGAGAACCACCTTCCTAGGCCGAAGAGAAACAATAAGCTTCCCTGTTGCCTGCAGCTCTTCTGTAATTGAGCTGTGTTCAGAGGTTTGATGGCTCTGGCCGACTTCTCATCTTGTTTCAGGTTTTCATACCTAGCCTATATCATCCTCTACTAGGAAATTAGGTAGAAGGTCTTTCAGATACATAAAGGGTCAATCTCTCAGTTTTTAAATAAGCACTCCAAAGACTTGCAATAATGTAAACTTTTAGGTATGGTAAGCATTTCAAACATTCGCTTACATTATGATAGCCGTGCCTGCCTACACAGTGCAGTTTTGAGACTACTGCAGGGGTTTCCAGCTACCTCTTCTCAGTACTAGTGATGCCAACAGTTACACTCTCTTTAACTGTTTCCCCCACAATTAGGAATATGTTTTAAAGCTCAAATAACCATAGTAAAAATAGTTTATTATTTTTATTTAAACCGAGATAATCTAACATGTGTACAATGAAGTATTTGCTACACATAACCATTTCCATTTTATCAGTATAATTGCTTTACAAGTAGAGGATGGAGATAACACTTGCTTTAATTTTGTTTGACCTGTGTTATGTGGTTAGGAGATAGAACATTAGAAAAAGTCAGGAAAAGTGTGGAGGAAACGTTGGAGGTACCGCGTGAGGTTTCTTGGAGAGGAGGACAGGCAGAACAGCCTGTCAGCACTCGAGTTGGAGTAATCCGAAGTTCTGTTTGTGCCTTTTCTTACTGTTGTTGTTGTTGTTATGTGCTGTGACTCACAGCAACCCTATGTACAACATACCTACATCTTGCTCTATCCCTTGCCAATCTTATTATCTCCAACACACCTATCCCCATTACCCCAGTTACTGAATTAATCCATCTCATTAAGGGTTTTCCACTCTTGCACTGTCCCTCCACCCTCCCAAGCATGACATCCCTCTCCAAGGACCGATACCTCCTTGCAACGTGTCCAGAGTATGTTAGATGAAGCTTCAGAATCCTTGCCTCCAAGAACAGCCTGGCTTCACCTTCTCCCGGATGAACTTGTTTGTTCTCCTAGCAGTCCATGGTATCCAGCACCAAAACTCAAAGGCATCAACTCTCCTAGTCATGGTCCAGCTCTCTGATGCATAGCAAGTAATTTCCAAGACCTTGGCCTTAGTCTCCAGACTGACATTGTTGCTCTTCTGTACTTTGGAGAGGTCTCCAACAGCAGACTTTCCCGGTGTAATTCGTCTTTTAATTTCCTGGCTACTGGTACGAAAAGTGTTGATTGTAGAGCCAAGCAAACTTTTCTTACTAGACTTTTTTTTTTAAATGTTCCTTAAACTCCTAAAATTGCACTGCTTTTCTAAAAATTCTTGGTAACTATCTCTAGAGTTCCTCTTTAAGAGCAAATGAAAGTTTACAGATCAAGACTGAGGACTTGAGTGGTGTCTCTCCTAAACTGGTAACTAGAGACAGTGTGACAGGAATCTGAAGTGAGGTCAGGGGTGGTTCATACCAGCACAGGTGGCTGGTGATCACTTTACACAAGGCCTGCGACAGTTTATGGAATGAAAACATCATAAGGTATTTTATTCATTTTCATTAATTTTATACATATACTGTTGTTGTTGTTGTTGTTATGTGTCGTCATGTGCCGTCGAGTCGTTTGCGACTCATAGCGACCCTATGTACAACAGCCCTAAACCCTGCTCTATCCTGTGCCAATCACATTGCCTCGTACATATACTAGTACTATACTATATGTATACTAGTACATATATAGTACTATACTATGTACTAGTACATATACTAGTATATTAAAATTTACTTCTAAACTGGCATTTCAAGATTTTATATTGCTTTGTGCACGGGAGACATCATAGTTATGTGCATGATAGCCCATAATGGTCAATACTGTGATTCTGAAAAAGCCTTGGATCTCTCTAGGGTGAAAGACTGAGCCATGCAGTAGGTTGTGCTTTCGCTGCCTGTTTAGAACGTAAGCAGAAGCGGGAGAAGGAATGTGGAGTGACTGCTACTTTTGATGCTAGTCGGACCACTTTCACAAGAGAAGGATCATTCCGTGTCACAACGGCCACTGAACAAGCAGAAAGAGAGGAAATTATGAAGCAAATCCAAGATGCCAAGAAAGGTACAGTCTGTTCTACTGTAATATTTATTTCATTCACATTTCCACAGCATGTTCGCTTTCTCACAGAGAGAAGGCCTCGAGTCCTTTAATAAAGGGATCTTATGAGCACAGCCATCTTCCCTTAGTGGGCGTAATGAAGGAGCTCCAGGGATGTTACACTTTCCATTATGTTGAGCTAACTGGGGCAGCTCGAGAGTGCAGTTGAAGAAAGATCTTTTCCCCTGTTTAAAAATCAGGATGGTAATATCTACAACCTGGGATACGTACTTATTTCTAAATGGCAGAAATTAAACGTAACTTTCAAATACATTTAAAGTACCTTGGTGCAGCTTCTTTCTTCTGTCTTCAAGAAAGAAGTCTCGAGATTTAGAACTGAAAAGATAACTGGCTGTAATCTTGGCTGCAAATGCAGGTATATATTTAATGGTGTTTAGTAAATTATTACTATTTTTATCATTTAGTTTTAAAAGTCCATAGATTTGTAGAGGCCAGTCCCTGACTCCTTTTCCCATATCTTCTTGCTTAGTGTGTGACTTTTCAGAAATAGGAAGGGTTTTTAGGTACACATGGCATCATAGCAGAAATACCTATACAAACATTCAAGTTACGCAGGACTCTGTTGTCTGAGGTTGAATTGAGTATATTTTTTAACTAATTGGGAGGAATTGACCTCTAACTTATTTCTTTAGAGATATTTAAGAAGGAGAAGGATAAAAGAACAGGGTTTTATAGTTCCTCAGATAAAAGCTCAGAGTACATGAAGAAATATATTTAAATCTACTGACTGCTAAGGTCTTGTTCTCTTTTTTTTTTTTTTTTGAGCTGAAACAGATAAAGCAATTGTTGGCTCATCAGTGGCCCCTGGCAATACTGCCCCATCCCCATCCTCTCCCACATCTCCCACTTTGGACACCACTGCCTCGCTGGAGATGAACAATCCTCATGCCATCCCACGCCGGCATGCGCCAATTGAACAACTTGCCCGCCAAGGCTCTTTCCGAGGATTTCCTGCTCTTAGCCAGAAGATGTCACCCTTTAAACGCCAGCTATCTTTGCGCATCAATGAGTTGCCTTCCACTATGCAGAGGAAGACTGATTTCCCCACCAAAAATTCAGGTAACACAGCTCCTGCTCACCTGGCTGGGGGCTCAAGCAGTGAAGCATTATCACTGCCTCCATCATGTCTCTCACTGAGGCTGGTTTGATACTTGTATCTTATGTCATTTCCCAGTAAGAGAAAACTAAAATCCGTAGCAGGGGTTATCAATCATTCATTTGTGTTCAACACATAGACAACAGAGCCATGATGGGAATTTCTACCCTGAGCTTCAAGGTCTGTGGTTTGTCCTGATGTAAGTGTACTACTTCTTGCCCACCCGCTTTCAAACATCAAGAGTCTCAAGTTTCTGTTCTTGTTTTTCCACTTGGTACTCAGAAGAGAATTCATTAAAGAGGCTTTAGAAACACATAAGAGTTAAAGAGCGTTACTGTCAGATGTACCAGAGGACAGTGGATAAGTGCTCATTGTCCTTGTGACTGCTTGGCTCTGTGGTGAGGAAACTCTAAACGCCCTCCTCAGTAAATCTAAGATCTGTTGTTCACGAGAAACAGTGAACTTGCTCACATGTATTCAGTACCTTTCAGAACTGCCACTCAGTTCTTTGGCCTGTTTGAACAGCTGAGCCAGCCCTGGTAGCTCTATCCTCATCAGAAAATCCTGAGCTAAAGTGTCAAATACTAGTGCTTTTATTGGGCCCCTTTTACTTCCCTGAGACATGTTGAGTCATTGCCATAGTAAGAGGAAGCACTATTTCAAGAGGACACTTTCCCTTGTGGTGACATAAAAGTCATTCTTTTGAGACATAAAGGTAGGCCTAACAAATAGTTGGACTAGAGGATTACCATTGGTCTTTCTAGTTTTAACTTCTATAAAAAGTGAACTTCTGGATACTTCAGCTACCTCTGGGACAGATGGGGAGAGAGAACTGCTCATCTCTCTCATGTTTCGGGGTTTTTTAAACCAGTGACAAACATAGATTCAGTGCACATAATTAATTAGCTTCTTCAGTGACAGAAAAGTATCTGAGTCAGAACCTTTTCTAGGGTCCCAGATCTCAGTTCACTTTATCATGTTACCACAGTTTGTTTGGTATTAAAGATCGTGGGGAAAACTAAATTTGAGGCATTGTCAGTGGTTAGTACAGGGGAAAACCTGAACATCCACAGGTGCCTTTTATGCTAACCCAGTTTTCTACTGGAATCACTGAAAGGCTCCAAGACTAACTCAGGCCACAGCTTTGGGAAGTTGTTAGAATGCAGGGAGATTGCACATGTCCTCTGAACAGATCTAGCTAACTTAATGTCTTGGCATATGAAGAGTTCTTAACAATGTCTTAGAGCAGAGGAACTGAAAGAATTGGGGGCTTGAGTGAAGGAAGGATGTACCCTAATACATGAAATTGCTGTATTGAGGAGCTAGTGACAATTGTGGTTGGTTAAACTTTCTAAAGCTTTTGTAGTCCCACCTGACATTTGATGCGTATTCATCCACAAATATCTTGTATCGTGTTGCTAGATAATTGGAAGTGTTTGGTTTTCCTGTCTGGAGCCCAGGACTTTTTGTCTTTCAGTGCCAGAGGTAGAAGGGGAAGCAGAGAGCATCAGCTCCCTGTGTTCACAGATCACCAATGCCTTCAGCACACCTTCTGAGGATCCTTTCTCTTCAGCCCCAATGACCAAGCCAGTGACAGCAGTGGCACCACAGTCTCCTGCCTTTCAAGGTTGGCCTCCTTTGCTCTGTCCTTTGAAGCTAGTCATTTGAATACACTACTCTCTAATTAAGTTGGCACCCTGAACTTCACAAGAACTGATCAAATCCATATATTCCCCTATGTGACAGTCTTAAACTCACATTTCCATCTGACAATGTCTTTGTGCTTTGTTGGCCTTCTTGCTTCCTAAAATGTCAGCATCCCTCATTTTGCATGTACGTACTTTTTTTTTTTATCATTCTAGAAGGAGTTCGTATAGTCTCAGCCCATCCATTATTTGCCACTGCCTTTTAAGGGGTCAGTACTAGCAAATTACCAGAAGTGGCAATCATTAGAATTGGTCCTAGTGTGTGCCGTGTCTTCTCCTAGGGCAGTGATTCCCGACCAGAATTGATTTTTGCCCTCCGCAGGGATTATCTGGGAATATTTTGGGGGTATCACAACTTGGAAGCCATTTCTATCTAGCTGAGTAGAGGCCAGGACTAATGTAAACATCCTGCAGTACAGAGGACAGTCTGTGTATGTGTACACATTAAACAGTAATTCAACCTAAAATTGAATAGTACAGAGACACCCTGGTGTCTAGTCTCTGCTTCATAAGAGGCAAGGCTCCTTTGGCTTTCTAGGTTATATAATCTCTGCAGTTTGTGTCCAGAAGTTTGTCTTTATGGAATTGAAGTTGTTTTCAGAGATACTGAGTTACCAAGTGACACTGACTTAGAGGTCAGTAAAGAGCCTTTATAACTTAAATTAACGGTTTTAAAATTAATCCTCCTTTGGAATCTGAGTTCCTTTCTTTTAGGAAAGAACCAGGACATTCATTTAGATGGTGCTGTGGAGACAGAACCCCTCTCATGTTGGAAGAAGCTGCTGCATGCTTTTCCTCCAGGGATTAATTTATAAAATAATCCTTGATAGTCATGTGTACCAAGTGGCTTTTCATTTTTACCTAATACACATTTTTCGTATCAGTGGGTAGTGTATTAGGCTATGTGTTTGGCTGCTACCCAGCCACTCTGACAGAGGAAAATGGGTAGTCTGCTCCAGTTAAGCAGCAGCCTCAGAGGGTGACCATGACTCTATACTGAATCAAAGGATGGGGGCTTGATTTAGAAGAATAAAATACAACTTACTAAACACTCAACAGTTAGTGCCTGCCAGTGTGGTAAGGACTTGTGTATTAACCAATCTCCTCAGTTTCCATGAAATGGCATTATAAATAAGGAAAATGAAGCTCAGAGAGATTGAAGCCATTTTCCCAGTGCCACACAGCCAGACTTAAATACCCATTAACTTTCTGCTGGCTCTGTGCCAATTTACAAGTCACCAGAACAAAACAGAAAACGCACTGCTGCAGAGCCATTCCGATTCCTCTTGTCTGCAACCCTGCATTGGGTTCCCAGGCTGTAGAGCTTAACGGGAGCTGGCTGCCTCCTCTTTCCTCTGGACTGGCTGGTGGGTTCAAACTGTCAACCTTTCAGTTTGTAGTACAACACTTAACCTATTGAATTACACAGTAATTCCTTGAATTTAAGAAGCTCCCAGTTTTTAGGAGAGTGAGCTTTCAAACAAGCTCTGGGTAAATAAACCAACACCATAAGCACAGATGCCCAATAGCAAAGAGAGACTGATTATAGTGCAGGGTGGGAAAGGTGCCTTCTGATACAGACATGGAGCTAAGGAGTAGAAACTGCTAGATAGACTTCTAATGTAAAGGAGCAAGGAAGTTTTCATAAAGGTTTTCTTATTTAATAAGAAAAGAATAATGGGTACTTGACGATATTATGAGTATTAATGAGGAGGAACAAACATTTTAAAAAATGAAATTGACTCTGTAAGCAGATTGAAACTAAGTTTGAGTCCTCCAATCATTCCTTCTTCCTGTAATATGAGGGCAGTTCAGACACTGTGAGAAAACTTTTGAAATTCTTTCTGAAAGAATTAAAATTTTAATAGCATAGTGACTAGCCAATAAGTTACTATATTTTACTGTTATTACCATTAGCATAATTTGTCTTTTGGAAAAGTTATAAAAGAGGAAAATACTTTATCTTTCTATTATATCCCAGGCTAACTACGTTTAGAATAGTTAGTCTTTGCTGCGCCTAACGGTACTGAACTCTGTTCAACTTGATTGGAAATCTGGCAGGCTTGCTTTCTCACTCCTCCATGCACCATGTTTTGATTTTATCAGTGGAGTCATTTTAAAGACAACTTGTGACCTCCATTTTTGCTAGAAGGTATGCATGTCCACTGCAAGATGGCATGGTTATCCTGTCCTGTGTTTGCCTATTATACCAGTATTGCACATTGGCCTGACTGGCCCAGCTGCAAGGGCTTGCTGACACACCCTGCATGAATTAACTCCATTGATGTTGTCTGCTCCCATTATAGCTAATGGCACTGACTCTGCCTCCCATGTGCTTGCTGCTAAGTCAGCCCATACTGCTCTAGCACCTGTAGCAATGCCTGTGCGTGAAACCAACCCTTGGGCCCATGCCCCTGATGCTAACAAGGAAATTGCAGCCATATATTCGGGTAAGGTGGCCACAGGTGGTGGTGAGGATTCTGGGGTCAGGCATTTACCTGAGGAGAAATCTCTTCAGGAAGAGTGTGTTCCCTCCTGGAAGGAAACTACTTTAAAGAGAGGATAGTGAAGGAGAGGGCCAAAGAGATTGGTGGTTCCTGACTAGGACTGTGGAGCAGAATAACCTTGGAGCTTTTAGAGATTCCCTGACCATTGCCCCCGAGTCCTTCACTGGATTTGGTGGACAGGCCTGTGCCTCCTGCCATGGCAGACGTACGAAAAGTTGAGTCTTTGACACTGTTTTGCTTTTCTATACTTTTTAGTTTTTCCGTAGTTAACATTTATTAACTATAAAACCTAAAATTTTAACACAGCAGTGATGGCAGTTCACCAGACAAACAGTGTTGTCTGGAAGCCAGTGAGGTACAGTGCAAGGTCCCTGGTTATTTCCTTCTTGCCTCTCTAGAAGGAGAATCCCCTCAGTCTGTTAGCACCCATGCACGGTGGGTTCAGGACTGTCAGTGAGTCGTGGCAAAGGGCAAAGCTGCTGATGCCATCAGCTGCCTTGGTTAGGTGCACTTGAGCTGTTTTTTAACAAATAGAAAGCTGTGGTCTTCTGAGACAGCAGTGCATCTGACAGGTTCGTTCTTTCTCCCCTGAAAACTTCCTTAGCTGATAATGCTTTCCTCCCACCTACCAAAAGCATGAAGTGTCCCATTAGACATACTTACCATCCTAAGATCATTCAGATAAAGTTATAAAGCAAACTTGTAATCTTGCCTTGTAAGGTAAGGTTATAAGGAAACTCCAATGACTAATACTTTTGTGACTCTTCATCTTTTTTGGTTCTAGGAACCGAATGGGGTCACTCTTCTGGTGCTGCCTCTCCAAGTCTGTTCCAGGCAGGTCACAGACGCACTCCTTCTGAGGCAGACCGCTGGTTAGAAGAGGTATCCAAGAGTGTGCGAGTTCAGCAGCCTCAGGCCTCAGCTGGCCCCCTGCAGCCAGTTCTCCAGCCTCCTCCACCTACTGCCATCTCCCAGCCAGCACCTCATTTCCAAGGGAATGCATTCCTCACCTCTCAGCCTGTGCCAGTCGGTGTGGTCCCACCCCTGCAGCCCGCCTTTGTCCCTGCCCAGTCCTACCCTGTGGCCAACGGGATGACCTATCCAGCTTCTAATGTGCCTGTGGTGGGCATCACTCCCTCTCAGATGGTAGCCAATGTATTTGGCACTGCAGGCCATCCTCAGGCCACCCATCCCCATCAGTCACCCAGCCTGATCAAGCAGCAGACATTCCCTCAGTACGAGACAAGCAGTGCTTCCACCAGTCCCTTCTCTAAGCCTCCTGCTCAGCACCTCAACGGTTCTGCAGCTTTCAATGGCGTAGACAATAGCAGGTTGGCCTCAGGAGACAAGCACACCGAGGTTCCTGCAGGCGCCTGCCCTGTGGATCCTTTCGAAGTGCAGTGGGCTGCATTAGAAAGCAAGTCCAAGCAGCGCACTAACCCATCCCCCACCAACCCTTTCTCCAGTGACTTACAGAAGACATTTGAAATTGAACTTTAAGCAGTCCTTATGGCTTTCTGTATCTTGTTCATACTTAGGCAAGGGTTGGAGTATGGAGGGCAGCCGTACAGGGAACTTTGTCTTCCTGATAAGTACACAATTTTGGTAATCCCAAAGGTCCCCCACAAAAAGTCCAGTCACAGTATGGTTAGGGGTGATTTTGAAAGAAGGGGAGAAATCCATTCCTTAGAAAAAAGAGCTGTCTTGCAGTTAGGCTTAGGAAGCCAAGGAAATATTGCCCTCTGTCCTCCCTCATCTCTTTACAAGTCTCTGGAAACAGAGAGGCAGAAGTATCTAAACAGGAATCTATATACAAAGCACATTTACTGGAATATTAAAAATTACAGCAGGAAGCAAAACTATCTCCTTTTGTTTGGCAGGCCATTCCTTGCCTCCTCAGCACAGGCCTGCCTTAGAGATGGAGAGCCAGTGGCTTAGGCTCGCCTGGCTCACAGTGGCAGGCTGTGTTGCCAGGGGCCCGGGAGGGCACGAGTCGCTATCCAGCAGAGTGATATTTTGGAGATAAAGTTGAGCTTCCATTTTGAGTAACAGAATAAATATTATAAATATATATCAAAAAAAGCCAAAATCTTTATTTTTATGCATTTAGAATATTTTAAATAGTTCTCAATATTAAAAAGTTGTACGAGTTGTAAGTAATCTTGCCAAAGGTAAAGGGGTTTTAACTGTAAGAAATTGTACATAAGATTGATTTATCATTGATGCCTATTGAAATAAAACGAGGAAAGTTTGGAGATGGCAGACGGGATCCCTGGCTTGTTTGGTATCTTTCACTGTAAGTAGCACATTGCAGCAACAATCATGCTTAGGACCAATACAGTCTCTAGGTGGTAGTTTTAGATAAAGAAAATGAAAGAGCAGTATTGTCCTGGTTTTAAACCTACTACAAAAATCTAATGTCATTGTTCTAATGGATCAATCTAAATATGCTCTGTAGAGAATATGTATTTTTCTTACGTTAATCTTTTACATTTTTTTTTTAACACTAAGGTGACAATTACATCATCATATCCACAGAAAGAAACACAAGTTATTTGGTTTTGTTTTTGTCACTAAAATGTTACCCCACGTTTCATGGGGCTGGAGATTGTGGTTATTAGCTTTGTTTATGTTTCCCCCTCAGTTCTGATTAATAAAAATCCCATTGCCAGTTGCAGCCACTTGACCTCTGGTAACATGAGATCCCATCTCATTTTTACTTTTAAACGTTGGCCTTACAATCAAATGTAAGTTATATATATTTGTACTGATGAGAATTTATAATCTGCTTTAACAAAAATAAATGTTCGTGGTAGAAGCTTTTGCCCATAATGGGCTGTTCTTTCCCCTTTTGTTTATGAGCATATGTTCTCGTTTGCCTTCTCTTCTCTCTGCATTCTGCTGGAGTCTAGTGAGTAGACAATCTTTCATCAGGGACTAGTAAATCCTTAAATTCATGTGCTTTGGGATGATCGTGTGCTTTTCTTGTAAAGTCACATTCTTAACTGCATGGACGGCACCTGGAGTTTGTTTCAAAAGCAGAATCTCAAGCAGTACCCAGACGTGCTGAATCAGAATCTGAGCTAGCAAGATCCCCAGGTGACTGATTCACAAGCACATCACGGCGTGAGGTGTGCGAGTACAGGCCTAGAGCAGTGATCCTCAAACTTGCCCACAGTGCAGGGCCACAGCCTCTGCGTTAGAATCCCACCTGATTGGATTTTCTTATTTCCAGTATGAGAAGCATGGTCTGAAGAGAGTTTTACTCTGACTTCTAACCCCAGCTCATCATTCTGTGGCTGACTGCAAAGAGCATGCCACCATCACCCTTACCTTGTGAAGTGTATTTGCCAGAAAGTGAAATCCTGGTTTAAAGACACTGTCAAGTCTAATGAGATAAGCATTTCCAATTTGTATAACAAAACTAGCCTTGGTAAATAAAAAGGAAAGATCAATATTTTTAAAATTTTTTTTAAAACAACCCTTCTGGCCCAGATGTTTCTTTGTTGAATAAAAGGTAGAGCAAAAATAGTACTTGCCACCCACAGTGCAGTTTATCACTTTTCCAGCCAATATGTTGGGAATACAGTCACGTGTTGGAGTTTTAGGGCCTGTAATGCCCATCTTTCCTGAGTACAGAAATAACCTTTACTTGTTAGGCTAGCATTGTCTGCGGAAGATCTTGGAAGTTCACACCTCTCATTGCAACCGTGAGGAAAGAGAAGAATGACTTTGCTCAGCTCAAACCAGTTCTGAAACAACTTCCCTTTTGGTCACACTGCCTGTTGGTATCACTTTCTGACTAAGCTATTTTTCATAATAGTGTAATTTTTAAATGGCAGCAAACTTTGTTCCACAGCTTCCTGCCTGAAGGGAGAGGATTCCTATTAGCCCCTGTATAGAACAGGCCCATCTTCTCTACGTTTGATGTGTTTGATGCACAGCTGGGCTATAAGCAGCCTTTCCACTTCTTTCACACTCAGATAATAGTGCCATCTGCTGGGGGTTTTGGTTTTTGGTGTTTTTTGTTTTCATTACAAATCTCTATAATGAGATCTTGCATTGTATTTGTCCTCACTATTTCACATTTTATAGAATATTAATATAGTATTTATTTCTCTTCCCCCCCCCCCATCAAACCCTAGCCAGTCGCTTTCCTCAGGCTGCCTGGGGGTAGATACAGGGAAAGAAACATACAGGGTAGACGAGACACGGGGAGAAAACCAGCAAACTGTGGGAGGTGGAGATGACACCTTCACATGGCGAAGAAGATCAGCTAGGCCACCATCGGGCAAAAGAGCCCCATGGCCTCTGAGAAGGCAAAGCCCAGAATGGTGTAGGAGAACTGTTGATTCAGAGAAGGATTCATGGCATGACCAATGAGGAAGCCCCAATCCCAGCTCCAGAGCCAGCCCCCAGTAAACTTGGCTCCTGTGTCCATATCCCTTGAGATGGTGCTGCTTAGGAAGCCATGACTAGGGATAAATGAAATCAAGGAACATGGGGCTGTCAAGCAGCTGAAGTTCTTCTCATCTGTCGGTGTCTCTGTTGGTTCCAGCACAACTGCACACAGTGGACGGCTCAGCAACAGAGGCGCTCCTGACCAGGGAAGGGGTGGAGACTAACTTGGTGCAGGGATACGTTTTCAGGAGATGCAAGAAAGCATAAATCCTTATGCAGAGAAAGGATTTGAAGCTGTTTTCTGCTGTACATGGAAGAGGTGATAGAACAATGGCTAACTGACTTCTGAAGAAATACCATTCTACCAAAAAGATTGCTTGAACACAACAGGACTTGAGTCCTTTTCATGACTGACTTAATCAGCGGAAACACTTTTTCAGCAATATAATCCGTGACTATGAATGTGGGTCACATGAGGTGAAATACACAAGAAATAAATCTCCCATCTGTAGAAAGAAGTGATGGAGACAGCTGTCAAGGCAACTGTGTAACAGATGTTCACAGTGAACCTAGAAGTAGAAGGGGAGAGGGGGACCCCGAAATGAACCTAAAAACAATCCAAGCAAATCTGTGAGTCAGAGCACAACCCTGAACATATCCTACCTGAATTTTAAAACCACCTCAAGAAAAGATTTGATCAGTAGGTTAACCCTAAAACTTAAATAGAAAAGTCCAGTCACCAAAAGAACGAAAATAATAAAAACTGGAAATAGAAACAAAAAGGGAGACGTTGCTCCCACTGCTACAGTGGTTAGATGCCATCAGTCAACTGCGGCTCATATATAGTGAGCCTCTGAACGACAGATCTGGGCCTGGCGCTGTACTGAATCATCCATACTCAATCTCTGTCATATGCTTGATCACATTATAGTAGTCACTCAGTCTATGTCATTGAGGGTCTTCCTCTCATTTGCTGACCCTCTATACCGTTCCTACCATACTGTCTTTCCCAGAACTGATTCCATCTTGAAAATCTATCCAAAGTGAATGAGACAAAGTTTCACCTTCCTTTCCTCCAAGGAGCACTCTGGTTGCACTTCTTTCAGGGCAAATTTATTTGTTCTTTTGGCAGTTTGTAGTATATCCAATATTCTTTGTCAATACCAGGCATCAGTTCTTCTTTGGTCTTCCATATTCATTGCTCAACTTTCAGATGCATAGGAAGCAATATAAAAGACTATTGCTTGGATGAGACACTTTAAACTGACACCCTTCCTCCTAAGAACTTCGGAGAGGTTCTTGACAGATATTTCCCAATGCAACATGGATTTTGATTTCCAGACTATTCTGCCATGGGTGTTTATTGTGGATCCAAGTAAAATGAAATCATTGACAGCTTCACTCTTGTCTCCATGTATCATGATGTTGCCTGCTGGTCCATTAATGAGGATTTTTGTTTTGAGATGTAATTTATATTGAAGGCAGTACTCTTTGATCTTCTCCAGTAGGTACTTCAAGTCCTTTTCTCTTTATGCAACCAAGATTGTGTCATCTGCGTAACACAGGTTGTGGGTGCGTCTTCCTCCAAGTCTGATGCCATATTCTTCATATAGCACAACTTCTTGAATGATTTGCCAAAAATAGGCCTTGAATGTACCCAGCTAAATTTAAAGACCATTTTAGAAATAGATTTGACATAGTGAATACTAATAACCAAAGGCCAGACAAGCTATGGAATAACATCAAGGACATCATCCATGAAGAAAGCAAAAGGTCATTATAAAGAAAAGACCCAGATGAATGTCAGAAGAGACTCTGAAACTTGTAGTGCCATGAAAAGATGACAAAACATGGGGAAGGAATACTGAGATTAAGAGAACTGAACATAAAATTTCAAAGGGAAGATAGAGAAAACTAATGATCAAATGTGTAAGGCGCTAGAGTCAATAAATGAAAAGGGAAGAAAACATCAACATTTCTTGAACTGAACAAAATCAAGGCTCAAATTGCATCACTGAAAATTGTATTTACAAAATCTTGAATACTGCAAAAAAATATATAAGAACATGAATACAAAGACGCTATACAAAAAAGAATTGGTTGACACTGAACCATGTCAGGAAGGAGCATATGATTAAGAGCCAACAAAATTCAGGCTTCACTGAAGGCACTGGCTGGGGGAGGGGGGAAATAAAACCCCAGGAATTGATGAAATGCCATTTGAGGTGGTTCAGGGAACTGATGCAACCCTGGAGGTACTCAGCAATTTCTGTCAGCAGATACCATACCAAACTTCCAGTGAGTTTACCAGGCAACTAGCTTCCCTATTTGCTCCCATTTCCCAAAAAGGTGACACAATAGGCTTTGGAAATTATCAGACAATATCATTACTGTTACAATGCACATAAAATCTTGCTGAAGGTTATTTCAGAATTGACAGAAAACTGCCAGAAATTCAAGCTGAATGCAGAAATTCAAGGCACAAGGAATATCATTGCTGATGTCAGACATATCTTTGCTGAAAGCAGAAAACAGTTACTGTGTTTTATTGATTAGTCAAAGATATGTAACTGTGTAGATCAAAACAAACCATGGCTAATACTGTTGTCCAAACAGAAGGAAACACTGCATGGTTTAAAATCAGGAAGGGTGTGTTTCAGGGTTGTATCCTCTTTGCAGGTCTGCTCAGTCTGTATACGGTGCAAATCATTTGAGAAGCTGCCCTGGAGGAAGCACAGTCTCTAATAAAGAGAACTGACAAAATTGAATATCTATTTGGGGAAGGGAAGTATTCCTGTTTCACACAGTGCAGAAAAAGCAGAAATGGATCAGAGAAAAAACTATGGAGTTCCTAGAAGGTAAGATAGAAAAGTTATGTGCTGCTGAGTCTACTGCAATTCACAGTGACTCTATGAACAGTGAACCGTGCTCTGTCCTGAGTCAGTCTCACTGCCTTCAACATTTTTGCTCCTATTACCCCAGTCACTTTTGTCAGTCCGTCTCACCCAGGGTCCTCCTCTTCTGTGCTGACCTTCCCTTCCAAGTATGATGTCCTTCTCCAGGAACTGGTCCCTCCTGTCAACATGCCCAAAATATGTGAGACAGAGTTTCAAAATCCTTGCCTCCAAGGAGCAGCTTGGCTTCACCCTCTCCAGGACAGACCTCTTTGTTTTCTTGGTGGTCCATGGTATGTTCAATACTCTTCTCCAGCACCATAACTCAAAGGCATCTATTATTCTGTCATCCTCTGTCATTGTCCAGCTCTCTGATGCATAGAAAGTAATTGAGAAGACCACGGCCTGGATCAGGTGCACCTTAGTCTCCAGACTGACCCTGTTGCTCTTCAGTACTCTAGAGTGGTCTCTGACAGCAGACTTTCCCAGTGCAGTTTATCTTTTGATTTCCTGACTGCTGGTG